CATTGTTTCCTTGATAAATTCGTAAAATTAAAACAGTGAATATTGTAAAACACATTGAAATAGCTACATGCCATTTTAGCGAATTTTAGCTAAAATGCCAACAATCTCATTGCGAGAATATACTTTATTCTAAATTAGCGACATCTTGAACTAGTGAAATTACAGGTTAGCTAAATTAGCTAAAATGACATGCTAGCTAAAAAGACGTGTTTTACAGTATACTCAAAACATCAAAATAGTGAAAATAAATGGTTTTACAGTACCTCCACTGGCGAGATAGAACATATTTTGAATTTTACACTTTTCACTTGATTGGAATTGTTTTCTTAATTTATAATAGACTGTGAAACTGATTGAGGCACTGAAGCAATATTATGCAGCACAGCCAAGCACCCCTACAAAATCTGATGAACCTAAGAAAGCCCCAGCGCCCCGTAACTCATCTGGAACAAAGACAAAGAAAATCAAAAGATCTACGTTTGAAATTCCATCAGATGTAGATGGGCCGAAAGAGTTGACAGAATCGGAAGAGCCCATTAAATCACAGAAACGTAAACGAAACAGTTCATCTGATGAACCAGAATCATCTCCAGTTCAAACTGACAGTACACAGCCGATTAAGAAAAGAAAAACACGCTCTCCAAAAAATGACGTCTGCAAAACAACTGAGAAATCACCGATGAGAAAATCACCAACAAATCACAGTAAACCTTCACAGGCAACACCACCGAAGCCTGTTGTTGATTCTGATATGAAAGCAATCATAATGGCTGAATTGGACAAAAAAGTTCAAGAAAGAAGTAAGTTATGGGGTTGCCATACGTGGTTCCTTATTTGCATATTATTCAGAATAATATTTACATATTAATCTATATTAATTATACTGTGAATTAGTTTTTCTAGCTAAAATGGCAATTTGAAAATTTTTTTATTTTCATGCACCAGACCATTCAGATCAATGTTCTCACTATCATCCACACAAAGTCCAGCTTGGCTCTTATACAATTTTCCTTCCACCCACTTAGTTTTTATATTTATATGACCTTTTGCTTACCCAGAGAACCAATCACATTCAACCCCGGACGTCACTCATGGCAAATAACTGAATACATTAGCAGTTAAAAGTCAACATTGATGCTTTTGTTTGGGTTCCAAACTCCCACAAAACGAGTTCATATTGCGTTATCTCTCCAAATAATGTTGTAGTTTGCAGTGCTTTTGTGGCATGTTGCAAAACATAAATACGATTTGGATCAGCAAATTTGTCTGCGATTTTGTCTTAAATGTTGCAAAACAGGATTACAAATTATTATTTTCACTGAATTGGCATATACTAGTAATTCTTTCACATAGTATTCTGAGCTTTCACTGATAATGAAATACCCGTTATGTTGACCTGTTTGTGAGAAAACCTTTAAATATTCACAAATTTTATTTATTACAGAATCAGTGTTGTCTCAGTCAACTGGTAAAATACCCCGCTTTGCTGCATTTGCCGCAAGGAATCGAGATTCCAAGCCTATCACACCTGGTAACAAAGACTGGAACAAAATCCACAGTAAAGGATTTGACAAAATGGAAGGAATTGACCAGTATCTTGAAAGAAAGCGACAACGAATGGAATCATTAAGTGCTTCAACTAAGAAAGCCAAGGTATGCATGATTATTATCCTGTCTTCATTGCCATGACAATTGTTCTGTAAATTATCTACATAGATAAATGTGTCGAAAAACAGTGCCTATACAGGATGTGTGAAAACTCTGCTGCACCATCTCAATTATACCGGTAATATATACTTATCTGTTCTTTGTTTTAGAAAATTGTTGATGAAGCCAAAAACGCAGCTGAAAACTTGAAAGCAGTTAAAACACCCAAGTCTGCTTTTAAGGTGAGTGTAATACTATTACTGTATTTAATGCATTAGAGAGGTGTTTCTATTGGCAAAATAAGATCCTGTATATAACGAATGCAATTTTTGGTTCATATGCATACTGCCCTCATAAAAGTCATTCAAAGAATAATGAACCCATAATATATCTGACATCTGGTAGAGGGCGTACTATACACATCTGAGTCCTTCGATCAAGTGAAGCTGAATGTTCTACTGGAAAACAAAAATAAAAGCTAGCTCGATGTTAATAAATGAATGACGTCAAACTATTGTTTTTTATTTCAGAACGTCAGGATTGCCAAGTCTGTTGGTCGTATGAAATCGCCTGGCAACTTCCTGAAATCCCCAAGACCAGTTGTAGTGAAACCCAAAACCTCCAATTTGAAAACACCGATTAAGCCAGTATTGCCACCAATTTTAACAACTTCCAAGACTCCAACTGTCAAGAAATCTGTACATCTAACTGTACCAACCACAGCACCAAAATTGGCAAGAAAATCTGTTGGAGTTGAAAGAAAATCTCTCGGCAGTAAGTAGTCTATCCTGGACAAATTTACGGGTTTAATTCTCACGTTGTACTATCATCCAAATCGATCAGCCTATTCATACTTATAGCAATCACTAAAATCTATATATCTGGCAAATGTTTAAATCACTTAATATGTGACCATGTGCATTTTCGCCAGCCAATCTGTTTATTCAGCCGTCACCTCAACACTATACAAATGTACATCCTAACAGAGGTGGACATACAGTTTTAGCAATCCGAAGAGCTCATTGTCAACCAAGGCGAAGCCGGGGTTGACAATGAGACTACTTGTATTTAGGTTGACGAACTACGCAATCGCAGATCGATTGTCTCAAAGTGCGTTGCTGAGTGCACTGGCGAACACACGACAAGCTTGACTAAAAATCATGCGAAATCGCTACAAAATCCTAGTTTTTTTCTCCAATAAAAGATAGTCAAATAGTGAACGTAAACCTGGCAAACCAATTAGTTCACGAATATTGCTGCATATCGTGTTCCCCTGCCGTAAATCAGGTAAATTGAGGAGGAAGGTACCCGGATGGAGGTAGACATAAGAATAAAGTCGAGACACGAAAATGTCTACCTGTAACAGGGATCTCGCCAGCCCAACGTGAGTGCCGGTCAGTCATGAATATTAATGAGCTATATGAATATTAATTAGCAATGAATACTAATGACTAAATAAACAGAAACAAATAAATTATTGATGCAATATTAATGTCTATTGTAAAAAGTTAAATAAAACACATTTGAAACATTTCAGCTAGGAATATGTTCACGGTCTTATTTACTCTAAATACATTCTCCTTCAAAAAATCGACCACATAATTATTTGGAGTATTGTTGTAATTTGTTATTCGTACCATCAACTTCTAAAACGTATATATTCACAGTAATGAATGAACAAGTAAAACTTCCAAACTTTCAAAGTTACGACGTGACATAACTTACTTCACGATGTTATACACCGGTTATACCAATAATTCTTGTTACTCAGTCATGATGCCAAGCAAAAAAATTTTATTTAGTTTTATCGGGAGTGAATATTTTTGATCACTCGATCGCTTTGGTAAAAAACACAGCCATGATGTTTGTGACGTATTAGTTGACCAGCACGTGTTCTTTGACCCGATAGGTCAATAATTTCATTAACCAATCAGAATGCCGCATGGTAATGCTGGTAGAATCTGAAGTTTCCAAATGGTTATGATCATAAAAATTACATTGCGGAAGTAAAGCGATGTCGTAGCACGATGTATTGACGTCGATTTCAGTTGGAAACTGTACGATGGTTTTCAAAAGAGGAGATTAGCAATTTTTAAAGGTAAATTAGGTCCTGAAAGAAGAGTTTTTACATGATTCGCGATGATAACAGTTCAAATGTACTTTACCAAATCACGCAATAAACACGTTAATTTTTTTTTTGAGTAGCGTAAACTGATCGTGAACTTCGCTTTGACCATGTTATATCAAGGTACAATTGATTCTGAAAGAATTTTAGCTTTCAATCCAAAGACTGTGTCTATCACAGAAAGTATTTAGTTACAAACAAAGAGGTGCTAATTTCACAAAATTGACTAGCCGCTACGTATCGTGCGACTAGGTCTATTGTTTACAAATTATAATCTACGACTGGCAGAATGCGTGTCGGTCGGTACATAATTATAATAACAATCGGACAATAGTCCTGGTCAGAAGCATTTCCGTGGTGGTCGCTAATTTTGAGTGTCTGGCGGGGCGGACCACCATCGACCAGCGTGGCGAGATCCCTACTGTAATCCGCGAATCTGATTGGGTGCCATAGTCATGAGGTATAATAATATACCATAGCAGATTCTGATCATCTAGTTAAAGTGAGTCCTCTATGACAAGTTAACATTCTGCCTTTTTTATTTCTATTGCCATAGGCTATACCAACTCTGATTAGGTGCATGCATTAGAGTCATGTCCAATCAGATTTATTTATTTTAGTTTAAATGCCTCATATCTTTGTAGAATTCATTGGGTGTATGTATACATAAAGTTTGCAAAACCCTGTGATTTGGACAATAAATCGTGTGTATTATAAATCAGCTTTGACGTAATCATAAACATCCAGAATATCTTGAACATCAGAAATAGTCTATTTGCCTGATTTGTGGGACACAATTTAAATCTGTCTATACTTGCTTCCTCATCTATATACACCATTACAATGCAATTCTTTTCATTTTCAGATCGAGTCATACAATTGAATACAACTCTCACTCCTAAACCAAAGAAAACAGTTTTTGATTTGCAAGCTAGCTTGCACAAGCCATTGTCGTATAGACCATATACAGGTATGGTAAAGCATTTTATATATAATTTTATATATAATATCATGTGTGGTCAAAACGACCTTGTAGCCTATCAAGCCTATTTCTATCAAATGTAACCATTTTCAGATTAATATTTATTTGACCCTAATCCTGGATCAGATGTAAGGAATGTACTGTTGGTAAGGGACGACGTCAAAAGATCGATGTCGGATAATAAACTTATTTGCTTTAGTTTGGGGATGGGGGGTTTTGACCTCAAAAAGTTTCTATCCTACAAAAACGATTTTATTTTTTAATAAAGTCAAAAATCTTGGAGTATTTGTAATTCGTTTTTTTTCTATCCATTCATGGACAAAAATAACAGAAAATGAAAAAAAACAAAACATCCAAGACGAGAAAATGGTTTGGTCCGAGTGTAAAGTCTTTTTACACCCACCGACGACCAACTGCTATGCCATACTCCTGTCGGATTATTAATTTGTATTTAATGGTGAATGTAGTCTGACGCCATGGTTTAATATTTATCAATTAAATTTCAGTGGGGGGTAGGGGGGTTTGGGAAAATAACTAAAGGAATTAAGTTTTTTATCCTACATTTAACTTTTGATGTTGTCCCTAAGAGGGTATTGTTTTGAATGGAATGTTGCTAAGATATTGTTTTCAATTCACTGTTTGCTAAAGATATTTTCACTTGACTAGCTAAGTGCTTAGCTGTTGCTAAGTGGATATGTATTGTTACGATGATTTAATGCTCAACACTTGTTTTCGATGCAAGATATAAATAAAGTCACTGTAGCATGACGTTTGTTTTTTCCGTTAACAGGCAAGCTGAAACCATTGTGTGAAAACAGCTCAAATAAAGTCATTCGACCAAATCTCGAGAAGGCAAAACAAGAAATTAAAAAACCCAAACTACAGACAAGGTACATTTTTTTTTAGTTTCATATAATTTGTTGCGCTAGCCCACGTATCTTGGTTAGTTGTATGCGATGTATCGCCTTATTCAACAGTCAATCTACTCACAATAATTAACCATGGAGGCTAGATGCTGTGAGTAGTCAGGACGTGCATAGTCAAACCCCAGTCAAACCAGTTAGCAACTTAGCTGGCCATGTTACTATTTTGGTGTTCCAAACAATATGGCAGTGTCAGTAAATGTAGTGATGCGATGTATATTGTCAAAGTGACATAGTCGCCATGCTGCCTCTTGTTTTAATACATAGGTCCCGTACAACATTTACAAAACATGTAAAATACATTGCTTGTTTACAAAAACTCTGGGTGCCAAAGTTTCCAAAATAATCCTAATTTTTTCATCAATTTTGATCAAAATTATGTCATTGGCTTTAAAATTTAATAGAAATTTTAGTTTGGGGTTAATCAAGTTTTTTTTATTTATGTTACAGGGACGATAGAAGAAATGCTCATACACTTCACAGAAAGACTATGAAAGCAAACAACATGATGGCAAGACGGGGTATTACATCATAAATCTATCATTTTATTTAGCAGCAATTTTTAATTTTACACCAGAATTTGATATTTTAAAAACAATCTATATTCTGACTGCCATTTTTTTTCAGACATTCATTTTAAAAAAAAAAAAACAATTATTTTATGAATATTAGATTAACTTATCATGGTCGAGTAATTCATGAAATACTTTTTAAAATTAGAGATTGTCACATTTCAATATAGTTAGGGTACATTCAGTAAGTAGAGGTTGTTCTCTATTATTACACCATTTTGGTGTATTGAATATTATATTTTGTTGTCTTTCTGTTTGTTGACAAAAAGACACTAGCAAGCACTCATGTCAGAAATGATGTTTCTAAACTGTTATCATTATTGATATCTAACTTGTATTGCTGTCTTCTTCTTCACCCATATGCTTGCTGTACGTGTTTTATATAAAGTATGTAAGATTTAATAGAATTTATCAGTAAAATGAACAAATGATATTTTCTGGATCTCATGGCAAAGTGTAGTTGTTTCTGTATTGCCTGTGATACACAGCAGTTGATGGCTGTTGGTATGTGTTTGATGAATTTATTTTTAACACAATATATCACAGTCACTGATTAGTTGTTGATTCACACGGTATTAGATTTCATGTTGTTTTATGTTGGTTTCTTTTCACCGTTGTAAATAATGTGTGCGTTACTTACTGATCACGTTAGTTTTTAGTCTTTATGTATTTTATCCTTGACAAGGAACTGTTCTTTCTTTTGTATTCCATTAAATATTGGATTCTGATAAGAATTTTTGTTCATTTTCTTTGTGACAGGAAAGGGTGAAATATTTTGAACAGTTTGTGTTGTTAAACATGGTTATTAACTTCAAATCTGCCGAATTTCTTCAACCGAACTTCGTCAGAACACTACAATTTTTTTGATTTGTGTGCTTTAGTCTAGACACAGTATTAAAGCCGTGAGTAACTAAGACTAAATGGCCATAACTGGGTTCTAACTCAAACCTAGTGTTTGAATACACACTCAGCACCTTGATCTACCTTAAATTTAATGTCAGTCTTTAGCTTTCAAACTATGATGTTAGACCATGAATATAGACTTTGAATATACAAAATGTAGTGTCCATTTGCCACATTTTCAATTTGAAAATTATATGAGAACAATGTCCATTACTCGCTTTTATGTCGTATTCCATTTGGAAATAGAGGGCACAGTGCTTTTCCAAAACATGAAGGCTATTTACAGAACGCTGGATACATTTTTAAGTAATACACCATCTCTCAAAATGAGCATTTATAGATTGTGAGGGTGGCTGATTTTTATTAGGTTAAAGCACTTCGTACACAGGCCCTTCTGGGATGTAAGGTCAGTGGTAAAGTCCCTCCAGTCTCTCATCTTGAATCAGATGTACTCAGAAATAATATGACCACTTTCAGTTACCTAAATTACAAGAGATCTGAGAGCTAAGGTTCCTTATACTTGCATACAGGTACATTGAAACAAGAGAATATGATATTGACCTGCTCTTGTTAGTTCCCAACTCTTCAAAAACTAAGAGGTTTATGGATTGGGTTCTGTACGTCTGTCACAATTTTTTAGATTTTCTTGGACCCATTTTTTTCAAACTTTGTACACAGTTTTATACATTGATTCGTATCACAATTCCAAATCATAATGAATTGTGGGACAGTTATAATCAAATCAAATACAACTTCTATACAACTCACACATGGTTTGTACAGAAACAAAATTTTAATGCACCGATATAATAAGGATGAAACACTTGAGTTTTGTGTGGCAAGGACAGGGAAGTGCACAATAATGGGAGAGATTCAGTCAAGCCCTGTTATCACATAATAATGGGCAGTGTGGAGATATGTGAAGCGGAAAAGGTGAGAAAAAAAGAAAGCAAACTGTGGTTAATGCATTGGAGTTTCTGAGCTCACAATTGGTATGCGAAAAAAAGCTCGTTGGTAGTGTTGCAGATGTTTCAGGTTTGTTCTTTCCATATTATGACCACAATATTATGTATGCCACTCTAAACATTCCAACTTTAAAACGAGACCACAAAATAAATAAAACACAAAAATGGGATATAAACAAAAACACTGATTGGAATGAATTTCAAAATGTTTTAACCACCAAGTTATCATCCTTTGATGATACCGTGCGTTTGGCAACTAAAACAACAAATAAACAATCAGCATGTGATGAAGTTTGGAACCAGTGGTTAAATAATACAATTGAAACATGTAGTGAGGTTATAGGCAAAAAAATTACATCAAGTACCGGTAGTGCTAAACCATGGTTTGATCAAGAAATTAAAAGTGCAATAAATGAAAGGAAAAAATCAAATAAAAAACAGAGTGGGTTAAAAAAAACAGCAGTTACCATGACAATGAAGGTAAAATATTATGGAATAAATATCTAGAAGATAAAAATAATGTCCAAAATCTTATAAAACAGAAAAAATTGAAAACAAAGTTAAACAGTGTATTGAGGTTGGTAAATGTGGAGGTAAATCAACTCGAAAGTACTGGTCAATTCTAAAGGGTCCTAAACAAAGAACATATTCTTCAGTTGTTCTTGACCAGGAACATAAATTAATCATCGAAAAAGATAAAGTTAAAAATGTTTTGATAAATTATTGGGAACACTTTGGATGAGAAAGATAGTTTTTTCCAAGAATCAAAACTGTTTGAAAAAAAAGTTCTAGATTCAATAGCCAAGTATGAAGAAGATTCATCACAAAATGTAAATAATATCTCCGTAAAGGATGAACAAATAAATAAAATAATATCAGATCTCAAGAATAATAAAGCTGCAGGGCCAGATGAAATCACCCATGAAATCATCAAAGGTGGTGGCAAAGTAGTGACAGACTCATTAAAATTGATGTTTAATATGTGGTTCCACCTTGAGGTTGTCCCTGTAGATTGGGGAAAAAGCATAATAATACCATTACACAAGAAAGGCAATATAAAAAATCTGAATAACTATCGAGGCATTTCACTCAGCCCAGTTATTGGAAAAATTTATAGTAAAATAGTTGAAAA